CAAAAAGTCGGTTGTTTTTTGTTTGGTGATCTTAGCAAGTGGCTCTGCCTTGGCCCATTTGGTGAAGTAATCAATTGCGACGATGGCGAATTTTACACCTCATTTTCCAATGGGCATAGGTCCAATTAGGTCGACCCCCCATTTCGCAAAGGCCAAGGTGCTGTTACTGGGTTCAACTCGTGCGGTGGAGCGTTTATGATGGGGGCAAGGCACTGGCATTTGTCGCATCTTTTGACAAATTCAAGGGAATCATGTCTTATTGCAGGCCAGAAGTATCCTTGTCGTATGATCTTGTGGGCTAGTGAGAGCCCACCTGAATGGTTTCCACATATTCATTCATGAACGTCTTGTAGGGCATGCTGAGCTTCTTCTTCGTTTAAACACCTTAACAAAGGTGTAGAATATCCCCGTTTGTATAGTACATCGTCAATGAGTGTATACTTGGCCGACCTGATTCGAAGCTTTCTAGCCTTTGCAAAATTTTCAGGACATTTCCCAATTTTAGGTAGGTGACGTTCTCATCCTGCCAGGTTGGTTTGGGGTCTATCATCATATGGACCACTTCGTCTAGCTCGATAGACAGTAGGGATATTCTTCCCACGGGGATGCTATCGAATTCTTCAATTCCCTCACTGGTGGCTAGTTGGGCTAGTGCGTCGATGTGACCATTCTGCGATCGGGGAATTTGCTTGACTTTGGTGGTGCCGAACCTTTCAAGTTCTTTTCTTACAACTTGTAGATAGTTGTCCATTCTTTCTTCTTTCGCCATATATACACCGTTGACCTGATTTACGACTAGTTGAGAGTCGTTGTGTATGATCAGGTCAAAGATCCCCAACCCTGAGGCCATCCTTGTGCCGGCAATGAGAGCTTCGTACTCTACCTCATTGCTTGAGGCTTTAAAGTCAAATGGCAAGGCTTCGCAGAATATGCGATGTTCAGGGCCGATTAATACGACGCCTGCCCCAGATCGTTCTCCGGTAGATGAACCGTCGACATAAAGTCTTCATGGGGTTTGTTCTTATAGTTCCTCGATTGGAACGTTGTAGAACTCAGAGACAAAGTCGACGTGTGCTTGGCCCTTGATGGAGGAACGTGGCGTGTATTTGATGTCGAATTATCTGAGCTCGACTGCCCATTTTACCATCCGACCTGAAGTGTCGGGTCTTTGTAGTGTTTGCCTTAATGGAGAGTTAGTGAGGATCTCAATGGGGTGTTCCAAGAAATATGAACTTAGTTTTCGCGCAGCCATCAGTAGGGTGAATGTCACTTTCTCTACAGGTGAATATCTGAGCTCGACTTCGTGAAGCGCCTTGCTTACCTAATAGACTGGGTGTTGAACACCGTTCTCTTCTCGGGTTAGAACCGCACTAATGCGTGTTCTGAAACAGATAAATAAAGTTTCAGGACCTCGCCGACCTTAGGTTTTGAAAGCAACGGAGGCTGAACTAGTTGTCTCTTTAGCTCGTTAAAGGCGTCCTGGCATTCTTTGGTCCATTTGAACTTCTTTCCTCCTCGTAATGTGTCAAAGAAGGGTTTGCAACGGTCCATAGACTTGGAGACAAACCGACTGAGGGTGGCAATCCTTCCGGTTAAACTTTGTACCTCTCTAGGTTTAGTTGGAAGCCTCATTTGGATGACATCTTATATTTTTTCAAGATTTGCCTCGATTCCTCGGTTGTTCACAATGTAATCTAGGAATCTTTCAGAGCTGACCCCGAAAGCACATTTCCTTGGGTTCAACTTCATTCTATACTTCCTCAATTTATCAAACATCTCGATCAGGTACTGACAGTGATCCTTGGCCTTGATGCTTTTGACCAGCATATCGTCAACATACGCTTCCATTATTTTTCCGATGTGTTGGGAAAACATGGAATTCACTAGCTGTTGGTAGGTCGCACCAGCGTTTTTGAGACCAAATGGCATTACTCTGTAGCAGTAAAGACCTCGATCGGTTAAAACGAGGTATGTTCTTGATCTGGGCCGTACATTGGTATCTGGTTATATCCAGAATACGCATCCATGAAGCTAAGTAGTTCGTGTCCGGTAGTGGCGTCCACCATTTGATCTATTCTTGGTAAAGGAAAACTGTCTTTTGGGCATGCTTTGTTGAGGTCGGTGAAATCTATGCATACCCTTTAATCTCCATTGTGTTTTTTCATAAGGACCAAATTTGCGACCCACTTCGGGTATTTGGCCTCACGGAGGAAACCGTTATGCAACAGTTCTTGCACCTCTTTGTTGAATGCTTCATATCTTCTAGCGCCAAACTGTTGACGTCAAAATTAGCAAGGCTAATCTTAAGCCAATTTTAAGAAAAAATGGCGATTTATTGTTGAAAAAAGATCACAAAATATGTTTAGAGAGTGTAATTATGCCTTGAATTGTTGTATGAAATCACTTGCCCTTTACAAGAGTCCTATTCAACTATTTATACATAGTTTCAGCCGACATTACATTTAATCAGTCAAATCAGCAACAATACCGAGCTCGGAACTCGGGTTGTCGAATTTTCTTGTGATTGGTCGATGAGGCCGGTGGCCATGTGTCAATGTTTTCCCCAGGTAATGATGACCTGCAATGGGCTGGAGGTTGAAGACTTAGGATTGGTTGTTCCGGGAGGTGATGATGTCACATGTGGCAAGTGTATTTGATTGATAGGGTGATGTGACAGGGGTAATCATGATATTTTTCTGAGATAACGGCGGGATTGTCCGACCTGGGAATAAGGACCGAACTCACATTTAATTGAGGTGGGGTTAGCGAACTGTTTTTATTAGATTGGGTTCAGATGTCAACATAATTCATCAAATCAATTTTATTCATGCATTTAGTTGGTCTCACAAGTATTGTTTTCTTATCCACCACTTTATTTCTATCAATTTATAATTTAAACTGGTAGTGAACCATTTCTAAACATCTCGTGAGCCCTGCTCGTGAAGAAGATGATAACAATTATTTTAATATACATTGATGCGTCCACACAATATTTTATTGTTAAAAAGATGATGACTTCATACTTCTATCAACACATTCAAAAGTTGTCACTTTATTTTAGATTGGTAATTGTATTTTTACTGGTGAAAGTGGTTGTTAAATTAAAGAGTCGAGCTATTTGAAAAATCCTCCTAGCCAGAATGACCTGGAAGCTTAAGCGTTTCGGTAGTGATTTTGATAATTGATTTTTTGATCGTTAGAAAGAAAAATGGGTTCTACCTATAAGAGAAGAAGTCAAAAATAACAACTGAAATAGTAACAAAATGATAAAAAAAATTAAAATCAATACCAAACATGTACTAAAAATCCCACCTGCGAAATAATTAACCGCAGATTCTTATCCCTGACAACGCGCCTTGTTGAACGAACAGGAATTGCAAATAAAAAAAAATTAAAAATCTACACATACTTCGAAGAAAAAGACTTACTTTATGAGCTCTACTACATGTAGTTTGACAGATGCATGCCATGCATGCACGGTGAAATAAAGGAAAATCACCGCTGGTCTGGAGAGACGTTAGTCTGATACTATGTTACCTTTTCAAGCACTTGATCCTTAAGTTATTGATGAATTGCACATAAATAATTTCACAAAGGACTGCAGTACAGATTTGAATGTGTATACTGCTGATAGAGTTATTTCATGTGGCTCTTTTGACTTGTTTTTGAATCACATTGGAAGCTATAAGTTGATTTACTACTAGGCAGAATTCTATTTTTCTTCAATGGAGTGTAAGTTCCAGCTTTTGGGGCTTATAATATTGTGCAGCTACCCCTTCAATTTCAAAGAATGAGACATCAAATGGGGGGTTTTCAGTACGAAAGAACTGAGAGGACCCGATTCTCTAATGAGCTAATAAATCAGATTCAGACAATTGATGCATGAACATGTGTTAGACTGCCAAATAGTTTATCAGTCCATCTACATTACAATTGACACAACTATGGCGTGTCAACTAATTGTAATACGGCCATAGCCGAAAGCTAGTATGGGCGACGATGGCCTCTAAATCTGTGCATACTATGCAACTGTGGTAATTACGTCTTTCCAAAACTTGATCTTGATACACTAACAATGCTAAGAGGTGTTATTGGTGTGATAAGAGATGATCGAGAGTCTTTGCTTGAATGTTTAGTGTATTTAGGCCAATTGATATTGATCCTTGACAAGCAAATATCCCATGATTGGTGTGCAAAATCGATCATCACAACTAGATTACTTGAAAGATCAAGATTTCCAATCATCAATCGGACATTTCGTGCTGAGCTCTATAACACTGATACAATTCATTTCTACCAATACCAGCCGGAACTCTATAGTTGAAGAAGGAATATATACGGTCTAATTCCAGAGTTGAAATTTACTGCCCACCAGTGAATGATTGATACATCATTTTATAATAAAGTGTCATATATTTTTAAGCACAAGCGGAAGTGAGAGAAAAGCTGGATATGTTAATTTAAAATGCTGTGTCAATTATTCTTTAGGTCGACATTGAATTGGACAATAAATTTTGAACAGCAGATCTCAACTCCTAATCCTGAGCCTTGGCCGGCCGGTAATTAAATTATTAGGTGTAGACTATCTATTAAGAGCTTGTTGGGAGATATTTTTTCAAGTGAAAAATGATTTATTATTATTATTATTATTTTTTTTTTTGAGAACGCTTTATTAAAAAGTATGGAAAAGTTGTGATTTCCAATAAAATGATTTTTCAAAATATCTCTCCCAACTAAGCTCTAAGTAGTATAAATTGTCAAATTATAAGTTAATTGAAATGTATAATAATTATTTTCGACACTGATATCAGTAGTCCTTGAACTAACTCTACACCTAACAAACAAGAAATCAGTGGTGAAGAATTAAAAGTCCTCCAAGTATTCCAATGGTGAAAATTGCATGGAGGAACATTCAGTTGAAATTAAATATTTTTAAAAATAATTCATTCAAACGTGTTTCAAAAGGCAATTAAGCAGCTTATAATCGAAGATGCTGAAACTTGCATAAAATACATGCAATTGCAGGCAGATAGATTTATATGGTTTAAAATTTTGGAATGTTAAGTGTACAATCTAAAACTCAAATGTGCAACTGAATTAAGAAAGAAAAGTGAAACAGACAGACAGGTGAGTGGAAATCATTACATTTCATTTCTTGGCAAAGAGGCCCACAAGCCCAAAACCACCATCGCCATTTTTCTTCTTGGGCGGAACTGCGACGGTGTTTTTGGTGGTGCCGCCATTCTTCCCTTCCACCTTCTTCAAGATTGGATCAGTCTCATAAAACTGGTCTTGTTTCTGTAATGCCCCAATGATCCAATCTAGCGGCCCCTTCTCCTCACTGCCACCTCCGGAGGCCTTCGCCGCCGTCGCTGCAGTTTTTACTCTTCTTTGGGTGGCGGCGATCGGAGTAAAGAATAAGTTCAAAGAAGCCATCTTAGCAGCACTGTAATCACTTTCTAGTATATCTTGTAGTCTTCTATTGGCTGAATTAGAACCGTAAAAAAAAAGGACTTGTAGGAATGCAAGTGTTTCGAGCACGCGCTCTCCACAACTATACTATCTCCTCTTTTTCTGATTTTTTTTTCCTTTCCTTACTTTTATTTGCAGGAATTTCAAAGATAGTATTGGATAAAAATCTCATCCAATAAAAGCTCATCTTGAGAAAATACGGCTTCAATTTTGACACGTGGCAGAACTTGACCCCAAGATACATTTAACAACTTTTATGGGCTGTTTGGGACCGATTAATGGCAAATTATAAGCTGAATTTGTACTACAGTGGACATAAGTTGTAGTAGAGCCGCAATTTTGGACTAGTCCAGGCAAATTTACCTATGTGCCCTTGCAAATTTGAAATCTTTTTTCTTGACATAAGGGTAACATTAGTCATTTGGTTATTGGGAAGTCAATAATGTCAGGCGCAATGGGGCTCAAGATTAGTGGCAACGGCTATAAAATTACTTATAATATTGTCTAAATCGCTACCAAACAGCCTTAGCTTCAATTCGGAAAGAATTAACGAAAGCCACTTATATTTCCACAATAAATTTTAATTACTACGTCACATTATAATCACACCACAATTAAAATATATTTTTAATAAATACACCACAGTAAAATTACTATTATACTCCTAATTCAAACAAAAAAAAAAAAAAAATGAAAACTAAGAAAACAATATTGTAGTGTATTTATCACCAATGTTAATTCTAATTTTCTCAGCCTTTACCCTCGTTATCTCACAACCATTGGAAATGGAAGATCGAGGAAGAACACTAGACCATATTCATAATCCCCCTCCCTTCATTCAGAATAAAATAACCGCTCTCTTGGGGAGCAAGAAAAAATGTCTGCATAAATTTTCTCCACCCATCAAAATACATTGACTTTACAGAACTAGAAACCACCACAAGAACACCTCCATTTAAGGATACAAGAGAATTTATTGTCTTGAACTCAATTGAAATGAAATTTAGGGACATTATTACTTGTTGAATTTGCACCCTTTCCAGAAACGATTCACTTGAATCCCCATCAATTCATCACGTAAATCACTAACATGCATGGTTGAGTCGCTGACATCACTGGAAAAAAATCAAGTTTTTGGTCTGAAATTTGTTTTCTATCTGCACGTATATATTATGTCAAACAGTTGATTTAAGAGAAACTAAATTGTTAAAATTTCAACAAAAGTAGAGATTTACCAAGTGTTTTGCAATAAAAAAGGAAATTAATAAAAAAGTTTAGGAATAAAGGAAATTCATCTCACAATTTTGAAAGTCGACGGATTTTCCTTTACTATAAAAGTTTATGAGTGTTAGTATTTACACAGAACTATATGAGCCTTTTGGCAGTCTCCATCACCTAGGGATGTCAACAAGCCGAAACTCCTAGCTAAGGCTCGACTTGAGCTTTTTTTTGTCCGAGCTGAGCCGAGCCTGCTGCCTGCATGTTCTTTTTTTTTTCCTGCCTATTTGGCAACTAAATAAGCTAATTTAGTTGCTAAACAGAAGCTGTCGATTTTATGGTTGTTGGAGATTAATTTCTTTGTTCTTCCTTTTATTTTTTTAAACGGGCCGGTCCGCGGGGAGCCACAGGGGCCGGGCTAGAAGCCGACTCCCCAAAATGGGCTCGGCCGAGTCTGCTCGGACGTTTTTCGGGCCAAGCCACTGGCGGCCCGAGCTGACAAGCCCGATTGCCATCCCAACGGGCATCACCTGGTTCCGTCCTAACTTTTGTCATATTTCATGATTGACGATGGTAATAGGTGGCTTACATACAAAAATGGAAGGACTATCTCCCCCAACATCACTCTGATGTAAGAATCAGTATACGAAGGATATTGATGTAGAAAATATGTAGAAAAAAAAAATCATTAGAGTTTGACTCGGAAATCCTTCTCTATCATATAGAATCTCACCTTGCCAACAAGGCCTCAGAGCCATTGGGAACATGAGGACATCTGCCCTTATCCATTCCATAAAACGAGGCGTAAAATAGGACATAATGCCTAATGTCACCAAATTCGTTATGATAGTAGTACAGAAAATACTCGATTACAATAAGGACCGTGATATGTTGATCTAGTAGTGAAAGAATGTCTTATCTCAAATTTCCATTAAGGTGTTGTTAGCTTGGAACTTGAGTTGGCCTACTTAACTATGTCACTTTCCTGTTACGTAATAGCCATCGATCAACCACCATAAACAATGTAAGTAAAATGGCATTGGTTTGTTGGAACTTTAACCATCAGCAATACATAAAACAAGAAAAAATGATTCCTCGTGCCCGGGTTATTTTATTATGAAACA